TTCTGATATCAGAACCAGCCTTTCTCTGTCATCAGAATCAGACCTTCTCTGATAAGTCACTTCGGACTTAGAGAAATTTTGAAAAACCAACCAGTCTATTCACCCCCCCCCCCCTCTAGACTGGTTACCATATTAAACGGGACCAACAGGAGCTACCCCTTGGGAGTTGGCCCGGAAGGATTGCGCCTGATTGATTTGGTGCCTGGCGTCATCGGCGTGGAGGAGGGCTTTGCCTTTGCTCCGGGGGGGAGGCACGCCCTCGGCACCCGAAGCGGAGGCACCACTCTCCTGTGGCCTGCTGAACTCTTGTTTGCCGAGGCGGTCTTGGACCCCTCGGCGTCCGGGAGCTCCCCCAAGCCTCTCGAGTGCAGAGGTCCGGGGTTTCTCCTTTATCAAGGGACGTTTATCCCTGGATTGGGCCTCTTGGGAGGCGGTGTCCTGTGCCATGATGCCTTCGGCGTTCCCAATCCCCGGGGGAGGATTGTTGAACAGAGGAGGGAGCGGCGGTAATTGAACAACATTCCCTCCAGCGTGGGGCTGAAGGGGCGCCTGAGAGGCGAGGGCTCCAGAATTGAGAGCCATGTTTTGAACAAAGGCCGCAAAGGCAGCCTGAAGATCGATGGCCGGGGCCGGAGGAGGAACTTGGTTCTCACTCCGATCCCTCCTTCGATTATCAAGGCCAATACGGGCATCGGGGGTGTTCTTCTGCAGCTGCTGACGTAGGTCAGCGGTGGCTTGCTCTAATTCGAGGATGACACCACCCTCGGGTACTAAGAGCCTGTTGGAGGCCTCAGCCCCGTTGGTTTCGCCGGGGGCTACGTAGTTCTCCTCAAGGGTTTTGGATTGGGCTCGGGTGGTCCTTCCCATTTTTGGTGAGGGTTTGTGTTTGGTAGAGGGGGAGGGTTTCTTACTTGATAGTTCAGACCTCTCAACGAGAGCACCAAATGATGGATAGTCTACCCGGGGGGTATCTTATCCGAAGGGTTATTGCGGGAATAACTAGAGAGAAGTCAGAGTAAACAGGAGGAGAGAGAGTCGATTTTATTAAATGAACTCAGCGTGGAGTTGAGATGTAGATTGTGTTTTACAAGGAGAAATGGGCTGCTATTTATAGCAGCAATAAATGCGATGAGAGGACACGTGTCAGTAATCCAACGGCCGAAGGGTCACATCAGCCTAGTGGCACCGGCAGTGGTACGTCAACCGCATTGAATGCGGTTGGTGGATGCGACGTGGCATTAAATGCGGTGGTTGGCTGTCTCTAAAAGGAATCTTCGATGATTGAGCTTGTTCAGCCGGAGGCACCTTGTGTAGCCGAGGGCTCCTTGTGTAGCCGAAGGCTCCTTGCGTAGCCGAGGGCTTCTTGTGTAGCCGAAGGCTTCTTGTGTAGCCGAGGGCTCCTTGTGTAGCCGAGGGCTTCCCCTGGCGCCGAGGGCATGAGAATGCCGAAGGCTCATGTCTTTGCCCATTTTCTTCCAGTAGCTTCTTATGCCAGAGAAGGCTATCCTGTGAGTTTTGGAGCTTTCGGCCAAGGAGGCCGAAGGCACCCCAGTGTGTATTCTGGGCTGCTTTGAGGCTTGGGCCGCGGTATTTGGGCCTGAGTTGTTTCCTGAGCTCAATGGACTTGTGTAGATTAGTGGGAGTCTTTGGGCCGGGGGTTCCTGGGCCATATACTCCATCACCCATATTACAAGAGTTCGTCCTCCTCCGAAACCACCTTCATCCTAGGAAGAGTTTTGTGGGAAGATTTGGTATGAATGTTTGGGTTTTTGGAGTTCTTTTGATAGACAGAGTTTCATATCCTTTCGTTTTAGGCTTAAATTTGTCCGTTTCAGGTTTAGCGAGTCAGGTTGCTTTGTATGAGATGGCTGATTCTATTTCAGACAGGTTTGTTAAATTTGTCTAAAGATTGTCTTGTATGCGTTCTCGATTTTAATATAAAGCCGCCTGTTTTACGATATATAAAAAAAACTACGGTCTTTTGTGTATATTAAAATGGCAAAATCTATTTTAGAGTAATAAAAACTAAATTACATATAAGCTACATATAAACTACATGCACACCTGCAAATAAAGAAACAAATAAAAAGAAATTTGAAAAAATCATAGTAATGCACATATGCGCATAAATAAACAAATAAAAAACGACTTAGGAAATAAATAGACACTGAATATACACTTTGTATATATTCATTTATATAATAAAAGACAAAAGTAAGACATAAACATAATGACTAATGATACATAACGAAGTACTCCCTCCGTTCCGGTAAGATTGTTCCATTTTACCTTTTTGGAAAGTCTCACTAAGATTGTCTCATACCAAATTTGGTAAAGATTGTGTGGCTCTAAGTCATTCTTATTTTATTCTTATTTTATCAATTTAATATCAACCACACAAACCCACTTTTTTTAATAATCGTGCCACCTTCTTCCGTCCCAATCTTAGTGGGACGAAGGTAGTATATATTTACGGAACAATATATTACTGGTCCATTCCAGTCCGGGCCTGTTTTTTTTTTCCGGGTTTGACCCGGACCGGAACCCGAAATCTTGAACAACTAAGGACCGAAACCCGGACCGGTTAATACAGGTCCGGACCGGTTCATTCCGGTCCGGTTCAGGTCTGAAATATGGTCCGACCCGGTTAATGCACAGCCCTAGTTGCATACTTGCATGTGTACACAGGAAATGTACAATATATATACACATACACATTTTGTGTACACCAAGAATGACCCGCATTTTACTCCATACCTTCCCGGTTAGACTTCCGACTTCACTTCTTGGGCGTCTCAAAATAAGTTTTTATTTTCTGTTTTTGTTAAATAATTTGTGATTCACAACCATTCTTACATATTTTTATACATTTGTTTGTCATCTGCACAACTTTTCACCATACAATACTCACTATCTTAATTCACATGTCAAATTTACTTGGGAAGTTAATTTATGGACGGAGGGAGTTGTACATTACTCCTGCTTTAAACTTTTTATTTAAAAATGACATGCTTATTTAAAGTACAAATAAATAAAATTATTTAAGTATATTTTAAGAAATAGTTTTATGTATGTAATATAATAGATATAGTATGATATAATGAGATCATTGATAATACTGTCTTCATTCTCTTTTAATTGTAACATTGGTCATTTTGCACTATTAACATATTCGACTTTGACTACATTTTATTTATCAATGTTTTATAAATTAAATTTTTGAAAAATATTGTTAAATTCATCTCATTTTAAATTTTCACAATCTTATTTTTTTAATTTTTTTACTAATAAGGAATGAAAGATATCAATGGTCAAACATAAATTTTAAATATGTTGACTGTTGCAATTAAAAAATAACGGAGGAAGTACTTATTATGTTATAAATGTATTATTTTAAATAGTTGACGACTAGGTTACTCCATATCATTATTTCTTGAAATACAAAAAAAAATGGGACATTCAAAAAAGCAATTGAGAAATTTAAATTGGAAGGAACTACTCCCTCCGCCCCATAAAATTATTCAACTTTCCATTTTGGGATGTCCCAAAATATTCATCCCACTTATCATTTTTTGAAATTTTGTGTGGCTCACATTCATTTAGTTTTTTTACACAACTACAAACATACATTTCCACTGTATTCTCATTTGCTTAATACGCGTGTCAAGTTTATGTTGAAAGTTTTTTTCGGATGGAAGGAGTACTATATATATCTAAAGGTGGGGACGTACACCAAACTCAAAACAAATACTCTTTACACCCCTTATAATCCATTCTTACTTTGACATTCAGAACACTAGGCAGAAATCACGGTGCACATGTGGCATGAGTGATAGCCACATAATTATTAGATACTCTTTGCACAATGTCAAGATGCTCAAAAAATTTCATCAAAAAATTCCACCGGGAACCACCCCAAATGGCGATGACCGGACAGAACCTCCTAAATAAGGGCTTATTTGACCTTTTTTGGTTAGTACATGGGCCTATTTGCACATTTTCCCATTAAAGTTTGATTTGTTCCGATTTTGTCTGGAACTGAATTCAATCCAATTACAAACATTATATTGAATAAAATTAGAAATTCGTAAACATATAAAGATTTCCTAATTTGGATTAGGAATCTAGCTATTTCAAAAGTGAAGGCATATTTAATACTCCCTCCGGTTTTTAATAAACTTCACACTTTCCTTTTTGGGACGGTCTAAAATAAACTTCACACTTCCTTATTTCCCTTTTTGGCAAAGAAATCTACATCAAAACAGTGCCAAACAGTGTCAAACAGTGTCTCAACAGTGCCAAACAGTGTCTCTACAGTGCCAAACAGTGTTAAACAGTGCCTCAACAGTGTACTCTACAGTAAAGTCAAATTTCTTTCCTTATTTTGTGTGAAGTCAAACTGTGAAGATTAAAAAAAACCGGAGGTACTATAATGTGGAGGTACTATAATGTTAAGCAATCAAAAATAGAATTTGGTAACTTTTTGGTAATCAATTAAGGTTAGGCAATCTTGTTTAACAAAAGACATGGCCGCACCTTGGATTACCAAAAAGACCATAGAAATATTGTTTAAAAATTTCTTTTATATATATATATATATATATATATATATATATATATATATATATATATTGATTTTCTTATTCTTTAGTGAGTTTTAAAAATTTGCACCACTTGCAATTTAGCATTTGGGTGTCAATAAATTATTTACTTTTTTCATTTGTCCCACTAAATTTGTCTCATACCATATTTGATAATATTTTCATTCTTACTTTTCATTTGTTCCACTAAATTTGTCTCATACTTGATAATATTTTCATTCTTACTTTTTCCATACTTCACCAATTCTACAATCAACCACATAATTCTAAACATTGTAGGTAGTATAACATTGTAGCCTTTAGAGGTGCACTCCTAGCAAATGTTTACATATACTCTAAAATAAGATACACAACTATACCTGGTATTCGCTATATATAAAACGTAGTAGAAAAAAATGCAACTAATATAAATATTGTTATAAAGGAGCAACACAAACACAAAATTATCATAAATTAGTAATTGTGATTTTTACAACTGATATACAACAAAGTATCAGCCTCATTGCCAAAATGGTGGTAGTTTATTCATATCAACTTCCCCCTGAATAACATGTGAATGGAAGAAAGCATAAAAATCAGAAGGGTAAGAATTGAAACCAACTGCGTTCATGTCTGATCTCTTGAGTCTCACCTTCCAACTTTCTTCTGCTTCTTGCTGTCTTCGACTTTTCCAAGAATTTCAATAAATACAAGATTTTTACGAATGGCCTCATCTAAGTAAACAAAAGCATCTATCTGCAAACTAGTATTTGTAATATTATTATTAGTCCATTTAAACAAAATTATTCTTCTAAAGAGGATGATGACTAGTAACATCATTAGTACCTGAAAAATTTTGGTCACAGGCGAAATGAAAAAGACATAGAACAGAAGACAGCACTCCAGAGAATGAGCAAGGTGTATGAATTTGTTTGGGTGAACCTCATTGTGCATGCACCACTTGTTTCTGTTGCGTTCACTATCATATGTGTTCCATTTTTGCTTTCATTCTTACTGCAACCAAACAAAAACGGGTTTTAAGGCCATTGGAATTAAATCTTCGGGAGTCAGTATTTCAGTCACTCAATTGTTCTCATTTATGCAATGTAGTCCCTCATTGTCAATTGGGTGCAGTTCACTCCCCCAAATATTGAAAAAGGAATCAATGAAGTCCCTCACAAGTCACACCATAGATATGGATGGACTAATTCAACTTGGGCATCTTTTGTGATTTTCTAAAAGCATGTGTATCCTCCTTTCCTATTGTCTTGTAATAATAGCATTAGCTTTATGGCGTGAGAGACTGAACTGAAAACTTTTTTATAATTGAGGGAATGAATTATGACTAAATCACAGGATCCAGAACAATTGAGAGGCCAAAATAAGAAATTTCTCTCTGACTTCTTTCCCCCAATATATATGTATGGACTGCATTCTTTTGGTACTAGAGATATAGAAACTTCATTCACCTTCCAGGAAACACACAACTCCCATGACCTGCAATATGTTGCCCACAATGGGAAAACAAAGAAAAAACGATTAAGATGAAAATTCAAAATGTACTGAAGCCATGTGCTTGAATAAATACTACCTTCGTCCCAACAAAGAAAAGAGTTCACTGTTAAAACATATTTTTGTCCCAAAAGAAGAGTCATATTTGAGCAAAGAAGCTAATCTTTAATACTAGTACATTTTATGTAATATTTTAAATATGGTTTTTCTAATGTGTGAACAGTTGAACACTGCACGGGACACATGAGAGCGCATAGTGTGCTTCATTTCCAAGTTTCTAGATACCATCTGATGCTTTTAATAAAATAAAAATGTAATTTTAAAAATCGTATGATTACCCCTTATCAATCACTAATACTAAAACATCTATCACCATTACCAAAGACAATTTAAGAAAACTACAAATATTAGATAGTCATTTATTATTTCTTATCACAGGTCTTAAGGGCACATATTAGAAAACCTTTAAAGAAGGGTACTAAACAAGTAAACTTTAGTTGACACTACAAATAAATTTAAAAATATAGCAATAATTGATTATTTATGGTAAATTGTACTCCCTCCGTTCCATTTTACCTGTCTTGTTTTCCTCTTTGAGTTATCCCAAAATAAGTGTCACATTTCCTTTTTTGGAAAGAAATATATGGTCTACAACATTTCACTTTATTATACTCAAATCTCAACAACAATTTTTACTTGTTCAACCACTTTATTAATTATTGTGCTAAACCATAGTAGGACATCATAAAATGGGATGGATGTAGTACCTTACAAAAAAAGTAGTATCTAGGGATACATGACTCTTTTTTCGGAACGGTGTTAATACTATATTTGGAATTGGCATCAGCCTAAACATTAAACCAAAAATGCTTTCAAAATGCATTAGCTGCTGAAAGCATTTCCCAGTTACTAAAAAGGGGAATACAGTGACTTGGCATCATCCTAAACATCAAATTCATTGATCACTAAATATATACGGAGTATATATTACATGGGAAATTATAAACTACTACTCATGAGTCATGATTCATGAAACAAAACAAAAAAAAAAGCAGCATGTGGACTTACTTGGATCAGTGGTGGTAACAGTTGCTGCACCTTTGAAGTCACAAGAACCAGCATCTTTCCCTTGTCTCTGGTAATAGCTATCAAACGCATAAGACGCATGGTTCTTAACTCCATTGGGCCGATAACAGCTCTCCCCGGGCTGGATTTCTGAACAATTAGCCTTCCCAGGTCCACAAGCCCAATCTAATGCAGCCTGCAAAGTCCACTTATCAATCCCATCCATGGCCACACAATACGTTTTATTTGTCGTGTCACTAGCCAAGAATGAACCACTTCCAGACATATGAAGCAAGTAAGCAGGCGACGAATTCCCATGAAACAAACCCCAGTTAGCCTCAGAAACTGGAGGAGATCTCAAATCCTCATTAAACAGCTCATATATATACACATCAGAAGTAACTTCTGGATGGAGAGGTGTCCCTGTACGATCAAAAACGTGCTTGATCAAATTTGAATTATAAGTGTCAGCATTGTTGATTGTGGCATATGGCTCTTTAGAATCCCCCTTTGAAGGCCACCCGGTCTCAGTGACAAGAACCACCACATCTGTAACATTCAGATTCCTCATAGAGTAATACACAGAATCTATCATTGCATCAAACACATTCGTGTAGTGAAGCAAAGTGTTGGGGTCCACCATTTCCTTGGAGGGGCTTAACGGCTTGAAGAGTGAATCCTCCAGAAGGACAACCCCATTGTTCTGCATAAACACATAGTAAGGGTACAAATTCATCATCAAAGGAGACTGGGTCCTAGACAGAAACTGCAGCAATGGAGAGATAACTGAGGTTAGGGTTTGATTGAAAAAGGCCTGGGAAGGAGGAAACGGGTCTAAGACAATGGAAGCCGAACTCGGGGTCGAAATCTTGATCTGTTTATCCAAACCGGAAGCCACCAACGCGGCATAGAGCGACTCGATTGCAGGCATGAGCATGGGAGATGAGCTGGGGACAGTGGTGAACACTTCATCTCCAACTGCAATGGCTGTGATTAGGGTTTGTGGGTAATAAGCGGCCACATTGCGAGCAATCCAAGCAGAAGCTGTGGAATTGGAGGAACCTATGGCGAGAAGCTGATTGTTGGGGACACTTACAATAACCCTAATCTTGGTCTTGGAAAGTGCCTTGAGAATGTCAGGGTTAGCATCGTATAAACGGACGTGGGTTATCTTCTGCAAGTGCAGAAATGCCACCAAATCCGGCGGAGACATGAAATTCGAAACATCTGTGCCTATATTTACTCCCACAAACGGCTGCTGCAGTTCTTCTTGGACTTCAACCTGAGCCTTCAGTTCTGAAAAAGATTGAAACTTTGTAAACCAACAGAGAGGGGGAGGGGGTGGAAACTGGAAACAGAGGATTGGATGTTACCTGGAAGCCGGCGGTGGAAACTTGATGCGGAAGAGGATGCGAGGGAAGTGAGGGCGACGGAGAGGAGGAAGAGCGGGGCGAGCTTATAAGATTTTGCCATTAATGGAGAAGTTTAAGAATCTGTCGGATGAGTATCATCTTGTGGGAGCTGAGCTAGCTCGGAAACGTGCTATGTGCCGGCTGTTTTAGGTATGGTTTTTGTCTGAACTTGTGTTTTGTTGAAAGATCAAGGACGAAAAATGATTGAAGTAACTTTTTAAGTCTCCCGTGAGTCATGATTTGATTTTTAGAATTGATTCCCCTTCTTGTGATTGCCAAATTTCAAATAATCCGAGTTATATACGGAGTTTGTGTATATGAATAAAAAAGGGGAAAATTCAAAAATAACTATAAAAACGTTTTGAAAATTTATGTTTAGATCATATTTAAAAAACTAGAAAGGTATTATTTTTGTCCATTAAAATTTTGTCAATTTTTTTTTATTATCTCATTAACTTTTTCATTTCCTCTCTTTTAAGTAAAAATTTATGGTTTCAAATAATTATCTCTTCTCTACCCAAATTTCAATCACACAGTTTTTATTTTATTAATCCACGCGTCGGTTAAATTTGACAAAATTTTAAAGGATGGGCGAAGTATGTTTCATTCCACCAGAACAAAACTGATGGATGAGATGGCAACAAACTAATTACATGAGACATACAGGGGCGGACCTATAGTATAACCAGTGTAAGCACTGGCTTCATCTCAAATTGTTCCACCAGCCTATCTGGTATTAGTGTATAAATTTGTTCCTCTATTAGGCTTCAGGTCATTGGTTCGAATCCCTTTAAGGCTACACGCCTACACCCAATTTTTTTTTTAAAACTTCTCAGTTGGTAGGTTTAGCATTTGGGCCGTGCGAGTGGGCCTTTTATTTTTCGTTTGTTCAGTTGACTAGACCGTAAGTAATACGTAGTACATGGGTAATTAATAATTTTACAATAAAAACAGATGCCATTTACACCCATTTCAAATTCTCTAGACCCTATTCCCTTTCTTCTTCCAAAACAATACGTGTCTTCTGGCGAATGGCTTTTGACACCGTTAGAGGCTTAGAAGTTAGACCTTAGCTCTATATCAGGTTTTTTTATTTCTCTAACATTAAAGCTTTAGTACTAGTAGTTAGTAATTATTGTTATAATTAATTTATTGTTCGAAATTATTACTGCTATTGACAATAAACAATCAATCTATTTGTTTAAATACTTCATCCCATTTAAAGGTTTCTATTTTCCTTTTTTGGACGTCCCACTTAAAGGTTCTCACTTTCTATTTTAGGAAATAATTAACACTCATAAATGACAGTTTAATCATCAAATACTACAGAGTAATTTTTTTCTAATGTAAAATCACAATTATCATCAATAACTCATTATATTATATACTCATCAAAATTATTTCCCAAAGTATACTCGAATTAGTATTTTTAATTATTGTCTTAATAATCGTGTCATTTTGACACGAGAACCTTTAAATGGGACGGAGGAAGTACGTATTATCTGTGGATAATTAAAGTAGTATATTTATTTTGTCTTAATAATCATGTCATTTTTCACAGTCACTCAACTTCTCAAGGTTTTATTCATTTATTTTTTCTTAAATTATTAAAGCCTAACTAATATTATTGTTAAAAGGTACCTTTTCTTTTACTATATCTATATATTTTATTTAGTATTTTTTAATTCATGTAATATACTATAAGTGTTATATATGTGCATACACTGAGCTCTGATGCCTAGATCCGCCACTGGAGACATATGATTTGTATTGGTCTAACTTTCTACTTCTTATATATTACGTAGTAATATCACACAAATACGGAGTAATTAAGGAATAGAAGCGAATGACACAGAAAATTCAAAACAGAATTGAGTAAGTTTTACAAATCTTGTGAAACGAATGCCGAAGCACTCGCTTCACCCCTGCAGAGATGGTTCATAAAGATTTTAATGAATGGCAATGATTGTGTAACCATTTCATCTCGGATAAATTCTAGGTAGCAATTTTTATTTTGTTTTTTATATTTTGTTGTAATTTAAAATTACAATGCCTTACTTGTTACTCCCTCCGTCCCCTTTTAAATGGGACGGGAGATGGTGTCACGGGTTTTAAGAAAAGTGAGTTTGTGTGGTTGATATTAATTGATAAAGTAAGAATAAAGTAAGAATGATTTTGAGCCACACAAAGTTTACCAAATAAGGTATGGGGCAATTAAATAGGGACATCCCAATATGGTAAAACGGGACATTTAAAAGGGGACAGAGGGAGTATTTTAGAATTCATCATATGCAAACACTACGAACTGTCTAATAAGACAAAAATCTTCATAATAGTTCACTTCATTTCTCATAATTTGACTTTACACCCCGTTTTATTGTGTGAATTGAACTTTGCATCTTGTTTTTAAAAAAAATTGTTTCTGCACCCCAAACCCATATGAAAAGACAAAAATGCCCATCCATTAATAATTTTGTTGGCCTTCAACATATTCTTCATCGAGGGCATTTTTGTCTTTTCATATGGGATTTGGGTGCAAAAATAGATTTTAGAAAACGGGGTGCAAAGTCCAAATTGGACAATAAAAATGGGTGCAAAGTCAAATTACCCCTATAAAAAACTCAACGAAATCATTTTATGTGTTTCCATATAAAAAGTTCCGGTTTTTCTTTTCCCCACTCTTTATCTCTTTTGTTTTTGTTTTTGTTATTAGATCCCATTATCATCTCTTTTGTTAAAAAACATACGGAGTAACTTTTAATGAAGTAGCATACACTTGATGATTTATTGTGTATAATTTAGGGATCCGGAACCTCTGCCTTGCTTTGCCGCAAGGTAGGGTGCCCGGCTTTCTTAAGTCGTCCGATCAACAAACCAACGGCCGAAGATCGTTGAGCTCCGCATCTCGAGGCGCTTGCTTCCTCTTCTGCCCATCCGATGCCGCAAGGCACCTCTGCCGCACGGCAGAGGATCTGAATCCATAATTTAGTGCAACAATTGTGCACATGTAGTATATTACTTTGATGGTTGTAACTTGTAACATGTTAACTTCAAGTTCATTCAACTCTGATTAGGATTGTTTGGGATTATTTGGTTCATGTGATAAAGTAGTTGGGCTTGGGGTTGCTATTTTTTTTAACAGAATTGGCTTAACTTATCATTACCAAACAGGCCAAACGGACCAAATCAAAACAGGTTACAAAGTGACAACAAGTCTCCTGTCTACCGTCCGCCCAAGGACCAGACTCTGAATTAATCACCTCCGTAGAAGTCATATAATTCGCTAATCCCGCTTTGGGCTTACCTGAGCCTATGACTTACAGACACGACCCCTCATCTCCTGTTTTAGTTTTACTAGTCTTTTTGCTGGAAAAACACAGCACAACCAAAACAAAAACAACATCCAGAACATGAGAAATAAATAAAACAAAATAAAAAGAGGAAGTAAGTTTCTCAGCTAAAAAAAGCCGAAATCAGCACGAGATCATCTGGCGGGGCTGGAGACCAGCACCCGCCCCAACCCCATTTTTTGGGGAGTCCAGTGCCGTAACATCTTTTGTAGCATCCTCCCTAGCCTGAACCTCCCAAGTGTGTCTCCTCTTCAGCTCTCCTAGCACTCCATCCTCTTCTATCTCACCTGAAATCATAACGTTCTCCATTCCAGCTTTGGTACTCTCTCTCGACTCATCCGGGTCCAATTCCTACACTGACCTCACGATACTTGATGAATGCGTGCCACACCGGGGGAGCTCCCTTCCAAAATCAGCCACTTGCTACCCTTACTTGGCTTTGATTTCCTTCCACTCGCTCTAAGCCACGGTCCAAAAGGTATAGCCATAGCTTGCCCCTCATTTTCATACAGAAGAGGGCAAAATTTCGCTGCATGTCCAATCATACCACAACAAAAGCAAAAGCTTGGTAGCTTTTCATACTTAAAATCTACTCAATACCCTTCTCCCTTGCTTTTCTTTAGAGTGGTCCCAATCTTTAAAGCTTTACCAGTATTCATGCGGACTCTTACACGCATATAAGCCTTTTTTTTTGTTAGCAAATTTTTTATCATCCCAAGTGACAAATTCCCTCAAATGATTCTCAATTCTCCTTTTCGTGCCCAAGTTTTCAAAACTATATGGCACATTATGGACCTGTACCCAGATCTCAAACTCATCTAACAACATCTTAATCGGGATATCACCCGATTTAACAGCTTTTAGCGCAATCAAGTTCTGGTCAAACAGCCAAGGTCTATTATACAGAACACGATTCATATCAACAGAATGGAAAAATTTAAACAGATACCTCCGTTCACCAATCTCATGTATAGAAATTGCTTTGCCCGGATGCCATAAATCAGCCATGAAATCCCTAAACAACTAGGAACTCCTTCGCCTTCCCTGCCCCTATCTCCGCTTCCCCTTCCCCTTCCTCTTCGTCTTCAATCAACAATTCCTCGTCCTTTCCGCCAATCCCCAGCCCTCCATACTTGACAGCGAGGCTGCCTACCCGCTCATCTTCCTGGTCACGCTCTTCCCTACGCCTTCGGTCTTCGTCCTCCTCCATAGTTCTGCCACCACGCTCGATCGATGCTTTCCGAAGCCAAAAAAGCAGTGCCGCACACAAAGCCGACAAGAAAGTCATCGAGCGATAGAAAATTATTACTCCGTATTATTTAAAAATTTAGAATTGATAGTGTAATGATCTAGGCTATATAAGCGAAAATCATTCAAGATAAACGTAGGAATTCTAATAAGCAGAATAGAATTCGAACATGGCAACAATAAGAGTAAGGAAGAGGAAGGAGTTCATCAATGGAGTTTATTTCCTAGTTCATAACCGATTCCAGCAAGTGTTTATATACAATACACTCTCAGTTATACTCATAACCGAATGGTAACAAACTACTAACTGCCTTCTACATTTGTGTGCTACTTGGACTCAAATAAGGCTGTAAGTGACGTGGCTAGCTGATGTGTAAGAGTAATAACAATCCACCCCCCTTACAAACAGCTTGTCCTCAAGCTGTCAAATGTTTCTCCACAAACTCAGGAAACCTTTTAGTCAGCTCTTCATAGCTCTCCCAGGTTGCATCTTCTTTTCCCCCATTTGACCATTGAATCAACCAATACACCACAGCCTGATTTCTCTTCTTTGCAATCTTCCTTTCCAGCACCGCCAGAGGTTCAACCCTTATAATTCCTTGATCATCCAATT